GAAGTTCGTTGTACGTACCTTCGCTGCTTTTATTGTCCTTAATATTTCTGTAATTATTCCACTGAGTTTTGAAAAATCTCGTCGATCATTCAAATAATTTGAATATGAGGGTTCTAGAGTTCCATTGTGATCGACTTTCGCTCTCTGAAACATTTAAAACAGTTAAAAGATAGATAGAGGATGCAGGGTGTACAGCCATTCAAATATTTGTAATGTCATTGTACAACAGAAATTTTTAGGAAATTACTACATGTTTGGTACAATTTTAATGCAAAAATATTGAACGAAAATGTTAAATAAAAATTACTGGATATTTTGTTTACTTTAATAATTTCACAGAATTCATTTACCTTCTCGTTAAGTAACATGTGCACTGCATCGATATGATGAAAGAGGAAAACCACCAAAAACAGAACTTGTCGCATCTTTGAAACTAAATCGAAAATTTTAATTGAAAAAAAAAATTCAAAACAAAAAAAGAAATGAAAACAATCGTTTCCTTAAAATTGTATAGCAAGATTAAAAAAAAAATTGGAATCAATCAGGTATCATTATGATAAGAAAATACGGGACTTGATAAACTAGATATCCTTACCTGTGGATGGTACTTATTTGAATCAGCTTTGATTGGTAATTATTAATCTACCTGGACTGACCACTTTGACATGTAATAAGTGTGTCGCCAAACATAAAAGGCATTCATAGGAGGAATGTTTTCTTGTGGTCAGGTCAAGCATTGATTTCGTAAAAGTAAAGGCCTGTAATGACAATTAGACTCAATTAGTTTCTTCCAAGAAAAAAAAAAGATAATTACATACTGTGTGCCACATATTCAAAATTAGTTAGTCTACTTGAATTAAAATTTTATTTGTGATGTGTGGTAAGTTTGGATAAAATGTATGGGGAAGCAAGGAATATTTATATGCAAAATATTTATCCAAGTCTTGACAGCAAAATGTTTTTAAAAAACCGGTCTGATTAAAAAATAAAAAGGAATTATAAACCTGTGATATTGAGGCATGCAATTGAGACCTATGTTGAAATCACGCATTAAGCGATTGAGGGGCAAATGAGAACCATCTATCCTTCTGTCTTCGACAATGCAGAAGTGAAACAAGAAATTCAATTAAATACGAGATTGATTACACGATCAGTATGTACTGTTCCTGCTGACAAAGCAGGTAACAACATTGTCTTTGTTTGTAAGGCTCATTATTTCAATTGTATTTTGGAGGAATTTTGATTTAACTCTGCAAGTACTAATCTATCTTATACCCATTACTCCCTTTCTAAGGAGGAAATGCTTCAAAACAATATGTCATTTTTAAATATTTTTTGATATTCCCAACAATCAAAATAAATTTGAAATACCATATTTATACTGGATTCCAAAACTCCGTAAAATCTTTACAAACATAGATACATAGCGGGTTCTAGTAAACGTTTTACCAAGCCTCTTTCTTTATTTCTCACTAAAATATTTACAGCAAAGAAGGAGAAACTTTAGGAGTACTGTACAACAGTGTTGGAGAAGTGGTGTAAATCAGACGTGGATACTTTAAAACTCCAAGAAACTTTTAAAAATTAGAAATAACAAAATTTTAACAAAATCAATAACATCAAAACGTACGACTTTTCAACTCTTTTATACAACTATTCCCCGAGATAAATTAAAGTCCAGGCTTTTTGAACTGAAAGACAGCTGCTTTTTAAATATAAATGAAACTCATAAATATACTTACCTTTTCATTGGTCGTTTACAAAATTATTTTATTAAAAAACATTCTGATCACCTGCATATGGGGTTTTTGTTCCCCAGTTGATTCGATACGCAAGAGCATGCTCTACGTATGAGCAATTTCTGAAACGAGACAAGCTATTGATTAACAAGTTGATGAAACAAGGATATGAACAATCTCGTTTGAAGTAATCATTTGGCAAGTTATATGGTCGATACAATGACATTGTCAGCAAATGCAACCTGTCATTAAGTCAAATGCTAACTGACATTTTTCACACTAATTGTTAGGCCATTATTTACACACTGAATTGTCTACGGATTTTTCTGTTTTTCATAACAAGGTGCACACGGTGGATATGACCGGTCGGCAGGGGATGCACTCCTCCATGGCACCTGAACCCACCTCTGATGTTTTTGGAGGTCTGTGTTTGCTCTGCACCCAATTTGTATTATTTAATTGGACTTTAAGCTTGAATAATGTTCGTTATCTTCATATATCATGTACTACATGTATATGCTTTATTTATTATATTAATCATAATGATGCCACCGCTTTAAGATAAAAAATGGAAAAGAAAAAAGAATGTCAAAGAGTGCATCTTTATTATTTTTGTAATTCAAACTTTTTTCTTTTGGAAAAGCTAGAAATACATGTACTCTCAAAATGCTGATTTGGACACCATTTTATTAGTAATAATTAATTTGTTCGTTCTAAATACAGATACTGACCATCTATAATACATGCTCCTAAATGTTATTTTTCTTCCTCTACTTTTGACTATAAAAAATAACATTGACATAACATTACTGGTGTTATATGATATATGACAATATGAAAGCAATCATTTAAAAAGGTCCAAATTTCAAGGACCCCATTTCATGACGTTAAAATACGAATAACGTTGAGAGTACGCCAACTTATAGGCTAAATATAGAGAGAAAGACCTCGACATTTTGTCAGAATGAAAGAAGAGTTTAAAAGTATAAAGTATCGTATTGGACAAATAAAGGCAAAATGCGATCCACGTATCCTTCCGTTTTTGGTAGACCAGAAATGGTTCTGACAAAGCTTGGAACAGTATTGACTTTATTTGAAAAGCTCATTATTTAAACTGTATTTTTAATTCTATATCTGGTAGTCCAACTTATACATGTACTTACATTTCCTTTTCAAAAAAAAGAAATTCTTTTATTTTAAATGCAATGTACTTTCGATATCCCACTCAACGGAGTGATTTTTTAAAGGTAATCTTTATTACCCAAGAAATACAATTATAGCGTTGAATTAATATAACAAGCATACATGAACAAAAGTGAATGTGTTCCATTATAATATACATATGTAGTATATAATATTAAATTATAAAAATAATTAAATAATATACAATTTGACCATATATTAGACAGAAAATGATTTTGTGCCTAATGAGTATATTTTATTCCAAAACTTCATAAAATCGTTACAAACAATTACAGATACATGTACATGTACGTTGCAGGGTCAAGTAAATGTTCCAAGTCCTTAATCTTAAAGTTTACCTCGACTGCTGTGAAGGAAAACATCAAACTTCTACATGTATACTTCAACTTATTCTTTCTTGTGGTGTAAATTAAATGTGGTTTTCTAACCTCAAAAATTTATTTTAGAAAAGTTGAAATCCGTTTTTTTTTGTTTTTGTTTTTTTTTTTTTTTTACAAAAAAATCAAATACATCAAAAGTATTACTTTTCACCAAATTCCTCATGATAGAATAAAGATTAGGTTTTTGACATCATGGACAACTTTTCTTTCAATAAAAATGGAACTTAATGGAAATTAACTTGCGATTGGTCATCTGTAAAATGACTGCTCAAATCACAACTACACTGAAGATTCTATTATGATTTTTGTTGGAGTTCATTGACAGTATTTTCGTATTCTTTGGAGAACTGTTGAAATTCATTAGGCTTAAATTGTGCTCCCTTATCAGCCGACTGTTTTATATTGTGATGAAATATGAAGAAAAAAAAACAGTCATCAAGCTCCAAAATTGGAAGGAACATTCACACTGTAAGCATAGCAAACACGTACGGACCCCAAAACATCAGGGGTAGAATTTATTCTATAAATTCTTAATGAAAAGAAGAATACTTTGGATTTAGCCTTCAATACGACAGTGCATGAGGTATATCGTTGTTGCTTTATAAATTAACAATATAAATTGTCATCCATATGTACATGTGCACTCGATATACACAACTTTAAAAAAAAAAGACACAGTCTGCAACATCTGTTTAATATTTGGATGTTATACTGACTGTAGAATTTATTGACTATCAAGTAAATAATGTGTCAAACTTTGCGACTTTAGTTTTTCCATCGTCAACTTCCCCTATTTATTCAGTAATTAGTAAGTAGTTATAATTAACTTGTTTGAAATACAACATATCTTTAGGTCAAATGTTGACAGTGAAGTTTCTTTACTAAATGTTTGTCCATTGTTTTTATACTTCCAATGAAGGATTACTCTGATAATCTCATAAACATAGAGAGAGTTTGTGACTGGTCGACAGGGATGCTTACTTTCCCTAGGCACCTGATCCTACCCCTTGTGTTTCTAGAGGTTTGCTATTTGCTCTGTTCACAATTCGTTTTTTTTAAACAGAATTTACGGAGTTGATAACTATTGGATTATTTTTTTCTTTTTCATAACTAAACATCTCACTTCATTAGAGTACAACAGACGAGCTGGATTTTTTTCCATAGTTTTTTTTTTTAAATTACATTTTTATATTCGTATCCAAAGTTCAAACAAAAAATGTAGAATTATATATTTGATTAAGTAGACTAGTTGTAGTGAAAGATGTATTTATTTTTTCATATACTTTGTCTGTTTATGGCGCTCTCACATTGTCTTTGTCCTGGAAAATGGACAGTTCGCCCCGATGTTTTAAATTGTATATGTATGGGTCATGTGTGCAAGACTCAGTGCTTTTAAAGCGAAATAATCGTCTTTTAACACCTCCAATGTTTATTAATCTAAAATCTTATATGTAAGTAAAGATTTTTAAACCATCATCAGTTGATAAAAATCTTGTTTCAACTAGTTCTAACTGGTTTTCCAGTTACTTTTTGACCTATGTTAATTAACACACTGCATGGAGTTGTTAGTGACCTTGTCAAGAAGCTCCTCCCTGTCTCGGCTATGGCGTGTCAGTGATGGACAATGTTGGACAAATCTGTTTGCATAATTAAGTTCCTTATAAATGTGACACCTAAGGTTGTCATTAACGACTGCAACCTCAAGAAATGTGGACGACTCCTTTTCTGCTAGTCCTGTGTTGCAGCCTCCTGGCAGATTCTCACAAATTTTCTCAGATTCGCACAGAATTTTCCAAACAGGTAAAAGTCAATTGTTCTTAGTGATTTTCTATGATGATTTTTGCGCAATATTAACAATTAAAATGAAAAGCAATATTTTGATTATGTCTTTTTGTCAGCATTTTTAAAAGTTTGAGTCAGATATCTGAATAACAATAAATGAATGAATAGACCATATTTATTTAATTCATGAAATACACTATATATATAGTTTCAAGCAATAATTTTTAAAAAAGGTTTTGAGAATCAATCCTGAATATAAAATTAATTTTATTTAGAAAAAGAACATCGCACACCATTCAAACCATTCAAATTTCCTCTATTTTTTATGGTTGTAAAGAAATCTGGTGTTCAGAAATTGCATCAAAATATTGCCTACATAATGAGTTTATTCTCTTAGTGTTTCAGTAAAGAGTATTCAGTTTGAGATGATGTCTGACAAAATATTCCATGTTTTAGTAATATAATGATTGTTTTTCACCTTCAACAATGCGACAACAATATGTTAAATTTAATTATTTGAAATTTATTTTTTTTTCATTTAACAGATCGATGCGGAATATAACATCAGAGAAAGCAGAGGTAAACTTTATCTTTAAACACTACAAAACACTACATACTGTACGTGTACATAAATTGACGTATTCAAAATTTAGCGCAATCACTAGGTATTGAGATTGTGGCGTATTCATGAATTAGCGCAACACACTACCGCGCTGTATATTGTATTCATAAAATGATTTCTTAGTCTTGAATTAGCGCATCGTTGTCCGCGCCAAAGCTGCTTAAATATGAAGCCCGCTTTAATAAGTACACATACAGCATTCTTGTTATGGAATGGTCATTTTGTATTTCTTAGTGGGAAGTAAAAAACTGCAAAATATCTGCTTAACTTTAAGTATAAAAATTTCAAGAAGGCAATACATGAATATTTAATTATTCTGATTCTTTTTTCAAAGCTTTGAGACACAAGCGTATGATTAATGAAGATCCTCCCGAGGGAGGGAATCTAGGACCTCTATTACCACCAGACCCAGTCCCTGCTGTAACGTCACCAAAACCAACACCAAACTCCAAAAGGAAGACCAAGAAAAACAACAGAAAAAAACAGGGACCAAAAAAGGCAAAGAAGACCAAAACAGGAAGACAAGGACAAGGGCCAAAAAAGTCAGAGAGAGGCACTAGAAAAAGCAAAGGGAAAGGTCAGAAGAAAAACAGGAAAGTGAAACAAGCCTAAACCAACAATCTTAACAGTACAGCATTTACATTTACAACAGGTACTAAACGGAATCTGCTTCTGTGGCAGGGAGAGTTTATAAGCAGTCTCCTTTTAAAGTACGTAGAGTAAGATATACCTGTACAGTTATTTATGTACCTGACTTTTAGTATTGGTAATATATTTTAGTGAAATCCACATAACGTCACGCCTTCGTTAGGACTTAGAAGTTATAATTTACACACTTTTAATATTTTTTTAATGTTCTACTCCGTGTATAATTTAATAATTATGTAATTTGTTACAATCACGGTGTCTTAGAACAAGTCGCATAATTCTTTAGATTTATTAACTGTATATTATGCAAAGTTATTCAGTCTGGTTAAATTAAGCTCTATTAGTTTCTCCCTCTCTCTTTTGTTGCGGTGTTAACGACTGTTGTTAGGCTGTTGGTAAAAATTTACTTAAAATCTAATGAGGTTTTCATTTTAGATTTTTATTTCATATCTATTTTTTCAGTTTACCAAGGATACACAATTTAGTATATTTAAAATTTCATGATGTAATATATACATGAACGTATTCATATTTCAAAATGTTAATGTAAAATGCATGAAATGTGAAAACTAAAAACAAATCAGCATCGATTAATAAAACGTTATGAAATGCAAATAAATATTTAAAAAACCGTCTTTTTTCTTACTGAGAATTGATTGAAGAGACAATATTTTCACTTTCCGTGTAAAATTTATACTAATAAGGGTACATTGTTTGGCCAGTAGATGACATACACTAGCTACAGAACTGTAGCGTTATGGTTATATATTTTAGTCTTTGACCATAAGGTCGTGGTCAAAGACTAGAGTATAAAACCACAACGCTACAGTTCTGCAGCTAGATATACACATACCTATATTCAGGAAATGCATATTCTCTGATGAAATCCTTTCTATTTTCAACGTATCTTAAAATGTGACCGTCCATTTTTCGCCAGAATTACATATAACATGATGACAATATATGTTTGTAATCATATGTACTTGTCAAGTAAATTGTGAGTTATGTTATAATTTTTTAAATCACAAAATATCAAGTAAGTTTCTCACAAAAAATTAATCCGAATGAGTCATGTTTTGTTTTCGAAGTATTCATAAGGACATGTAGATAATAAAAGGGTTGACATACAAATATCGTTCATTTATCAATATTATATATGTAAAAATTCATATTTGAAGCTTTTTTAAACAGAATCTTGGTTTTAAAATATAGTTTATGAAATAAACTAATTTTTGACAACCTGTAGGTATATATTTGTCAGATTTGTTCAAGCGTAGCGTTGGGGGAAGTAATTTTGATTGTGTTATGTCCTTTGCATATAAAGCAATTTAAATGTGATAATACACTTCTGATGGATACGTGGGGAAAATTACAAGATCAAAAGATGTAATTAAGGTAAATAAAATCATTGAAAGATTTGTAAGAGCATCGCAGAAAGTGCAGTATGATTTGACAAAATATTTTTGAAAGGGACTATCCTGACAGCACTTCGACCCATTTAAGTCAAGTAATGGTTTTAAGTGGAATACTGTCTGAGATGCTAACATCCGAGGAAAGTCTAATATCTGACATGATGATCTCGAACTCTCAAATTAATCATTAACATACTGGACAGCTACAGGTAAAATTACTTTGTACTGTCCACAAGTTAGGTCCAGGGTTCTCCATGAGCTGTTTTACTGTATCGGCCCCGACACAGTAAAATTTCCCCCGACACAGTAACGATTCAAATTTAAAGAGTGCGACACAGTAAAAATTTTACGACACAGTAAGATCTGTGATAATCAGAAATCAATACATAAATGTTCTCTAACTGAACCTTTAATCAAACATATCTACCGTCTTTCAATTTATAATGCAGAGTATTTAATTACATGTCTTTCTCTTAATTAGGCCACATTGTCTTGCTTCACCTTGCATTGTCAATTATCTCCTATAGATCCTCGCTGGACATGAAGGCCCAAAGACAATTCATTTGTTTTCGCACTTCCATGTTACCGTATAATTGCTAGTTGCATTTTTGAAAAATATTATTTGAATATCTAAAAACTAATTAAGGTCTTCCGTCTTCACGGAAGACCTTATAGTGATTCTACTGTTTCTTATTATTATTAAGGTCTTTCGTCTTCACGGAAGACCTTATAGTGATTCTACTGTTTCTTCTTCTTCTTATTATTATTATTCTTATTATTATTTTTTTGACTTTCTAATTTTGTGCACGCGATTTCTCAGAGACTATTGAGTGGATTGGGATGAAATTTGCAGGGAAAATGTGTCGTAGGCTGAAGTTATTTTATCCGGGAGCAAATTCCAAAAATCACATCCGGTGCCAAGTAATGGACCATTTCCTGATTTTAAAATGAAATTTTGTCCAGGGATAATCTCAAGAACGGCTAAAGATATCAATGTAAAACTTTCAGGAATAATAGATCGTGATAAAGACTTGTCGGGAAGCTTATTTTTGTACGCCGTCGGCACTTCCTGTCGCTACAGGAAGTGGCTTTCAAAAATCGATTTTTTCAATTTTTTTGTTTTTAAATATTTTTCTGCGATATTAGTAGGGATAATAAAGCGTCTTATCGGATTACTAAATATATAATTTGTTTTAATGTTGATTCAAACATACTCTAGGAATTCGCTTTTTTCGTTTTAAGACACTTTCTAATCTTGTGCACGCGATTTCTCAAAGACTATTGAATGGATTTAAATGAAATTTTCAGGAATAGTGTGTTGTAAAATGAACTTGATCTATATGAGAGAAAATTTGGAAATTTACTTCCGGTGCCAAGTTAAAGACCATTTTCTGATTTCAAAATGACATTTTGTCCGCGGATAATCTCAAGAACGACAAGAGATATCAATGTCAAACTTTCAGGGATTATAGCTCGTGATAGATACTAGCCGGGTCGCTACTTTTTGTTCGTCGTCGGCACTTCCGGTTGCTTGCGGAAGTGATCAAAGAAATCGTAAAATTTCAACTTTTCTTTTTTAAATCAATACTTACATCACTTTATTGCATCTCTTTTGTAGTTTCGAAATATGTTAGTCCCACCGGAAACAAAAACGTCAACTTCCGGTTACAAGAGAAAAACTACATAATTTGAGTATTTTCCTTTCCCATTAATATCTTCTGTAGTTATTAATGTCTTTTGTAGCATTTGAAATGAATTCTAAATGTGTTATTTAGACTGCAAATGTCTAGAGTAACGTCAAGTATCTTAAGCTTTGTAAAATTCTCTTCCGGTCGCGTGTTTTTCTGTCCTCAAAATGAGAAGTTGTCTGAGCAAGATCTCGGAAACGGTAAGAGATTAAGACACCAAACTTATATGAGCAACAGACCTTAAGATGTAGGCAAAACCATTTGGGTTCAGAGCGTCAGCCGTCACTTCCGGTCGTCACAGGAAGTGATCAAAGAATTCAAAATTTTAATTTTTCTTTTTTTAAATTAAAACTTGCATCACTTTATTGCATCTCTTTCACTGTTTTGAAATATATTAGATTCCACCGAAATCAAAAACGTCAACTTCCGGTTTTAGGAGATAAACTACGTTATTTTTATATTTAACTTTCTCATAAATATTGCTTATCGATAAAGTACTTGAAATAATTATTCATGTTGTAGATACTGCAAATGTCTAGAGAAAAGTCAGAGATTTTTCTAAAATTCACTTCCGGTCCTTGTCTACCTGTCCTCAAAATTAGAATCTGTTCTCAAGATACGGCTCGGCAACAGTAAACGACTGAAATCTAAAACTTTCAGGACTGATAAAAGGTCATCACTTCATTTGAATCGTGAGAAAATCTTGTATCGCCGTTACTTCCGGTCGTAACAGGAAGTGATGCAAAAAAGCGAATTGTTAATGATTAGCACGTTGGATTTTCACGTTGACGACCAGGGTTAAATCTCCAGAGTGTCTGAATTTCTTTAAACACTTTTTCAGCTTGAATTTTCGTTTTGTTTTCAGAATCGGACGGAAGACCTCTCATTGCTCGCAATGAGTTTCTAGTTAAATATATTTTTTTACTGCAGAATAACGTCTTTAGAATTATGACAGCAACGTGAGTCAAGTATATCATACCGTAATCATCTAAATTAATTGATGTACATGTATTGTTGAAGAATGTACAGGCACTCCCTAAAAGTATTTTACTTTTCTAAAGTTTTCTTTCTAACTTCAAAAATCTACCAGTAATTCGATCAACAAAAAAAAAAAAAAAAAAAAAAGAAAAAAAAAAAAAAACAGGGCAAATTTACTTTTAAAGAGGGTACGTAGTTCGATTGTATTGAACAGAATTCCCTCTGCTCTTCAGTGCACATGTGTAGAATATAAAGTTATATATAAAAATATCAAGGTTAATACTTTAATACTTACAACTGATAAATACTGATACAAATATAAAATATAAGTATTTTTCTTAAAATACTATTAATTTTTTTTAAGCTTTGGGGGGGGGGGGATCTTTCAGTTGGTTTGTGTTATATTATGTATATTATTAAATACACTTGGAGACATTCTAATTCTTTTCAATATATATTAATTCATTTTTTATTAATACGTACAATCAAACCATTTGTGAAACGAATTATTGAGTCAAAAAAAATGTGTGTGCGTGTATGCTTGGGTAATTAGTTGCGAATTTGATCGGGAAAATATTAGTGCTTTACGTAAAGTCTGCAACACAGTAAAATTTCAAATGATGGAGAACACTGTAGGTCAATAAAAACTAGTATTAATTGTAACGGGGACCGTTACAGATGTTCCCCAAACGCTCCCCAACTTCCTTTTGGTGTCTTATTCCCTGTAAGCTTCATTAAATAAGGCAATCAAGTATATTGTTTTTTTACGCATTACACGCGCGCGCACGGACATGCATGTACAAAATGACCATGTCAACTTGTCTACACTTTCAAATAGTTTCAATACATCTTTATATTCAAATTTCATCAAAAGATAAAAAAAAATTCGGCTATATTAAGTATATCTGTCATTTAACGCTTTGCAAGCGTGCACACGTGCATGCATATCCAAGTTGACCGTGTCATCTTATCTATACTATTAGTATATATCTACATATTTTGAGTTCAAAGCATTTCATCAAAAAGTATAAAAGTTACAGCTATATCAAGTATATTGGTCATTTAAGCGTTGCATGCGTGCGCACGTGCATGCATGTGCATGTTGACAATGTCGTCTTTTCTACATTAATAATATGTCTATATATTCTGAGTATCAAAGCATTACATCAAAAAATGTAAAAGTTATGGTTATAGCAAGTATATTGGTAATTTTACTCATTCCACGCGTACTCACGTGCATGCATGTGTGCGCTGACCATGTCATCTTGTCTACACTTCTAATATATCTTTATATTCTGAGTTTCAATGCAATTTATCAAAAAATGTACAAGTTAAGTCTATATCGATTATATTGGTTATTTCAATCATTGCGCACGCGAGCACGTGCATGCATGTGCATTCTGACCATGTCATCTTGCCTTCACTATTAATATATCCTTATATTCTGAGTATTAAAGTATTTCATCAAAAGATATGGAAATTTTGGCTATATCAAGTATATTGGTCATTCTACTCATTGCACGCACACGCACGTGCATGCAAGTGCATGCATGTGTG